TCTCGGAAAATTGTCGATCAACTACATGGAACGATTAATAATCCGCTTCCATTTACCTTGAGAAGAGAATAGTCGCGCATTTTGATTGATCGTTTGAACAGCTGGTCGAAGGAAAGTGAATGACAGCGGCACCGACCTCCTGAGGACATTTGGTGTCCTCAAAAACGACCCGAAAACTTTCAATGAACGAGGGATTGCGCGAAACATGCCTGTGTTCGACGGGGTGCAAGCGAAACGGCTTACTAAAACAAGGAAAAAGTTCTTGGTTTCATTTAGAGTCCGGTCGAAAAAGGATACGGAATGCTGGCAGTGCGTAAATACCTAAGGCAAGGTCCCAGACTGTATCCAGAACTACCAAAGGCTCCTTCATTTTATTTTGCACTTAAGCAACAATCGTAAGATAAATCTGTCAATGCATTGTGATAGCCCGCTAAAATCAGTGTGACCACCTGAAACAAAAACACGCAAGAAATGCGCGACTAACGCGACAGATCAATGGGTGATAACAAGAAAGCTCAATTAATGAAATAAACCCATCGGAAAAGTTAAGCAGCATTTTTTGATCGCAGTGGACACCTGCAACGCTGGTTGATAAAAGTATCAGTTGGTCTACAAAATGATTCCACAGTTCACACAAATTATGCACTCGTTTCCAGTTGATATTGCCTAGCATCCCCTAAATCGTGTACCCTAGTAGCGAATTCACACGGATTCCCTTATGGGTTCCGTCACGAAAAGTCGCGGTACGGTGGCATACATTGGCATAAATACATTGCACTTGCACTTGCATTTTACCGATCGTTATAGGGAACGCCCTCCGTTAATTAGCACCCCGAAGTCACGTTCATTTGAAAAACGTTTATTAAAAATGCAAAATGAATATAAGTCTTTTTGTTGTATTCTAAGGTTTCTCCGCCCTTTCATCTTGCTCTTCGATTGGGTCCAATGTTCAGCGTGAGAAACGAATATTAAGGCAGAAATAGTACGAACCATCATCATTATTCGTCGTGAAGTCCTGTTTAGCGCGCTTTTTTAGGAGAGTGTTCAAAGATCTCTTAATCCTCTGGCAACGGTTCTTTCCAATTCATGCACATCTGCGTGATCATAT